ATACATTTGTTTGATTCTCTTCAGGTTACAATATCCCTTAGGAAGACAAATGCTACAAGTATTTTAACCATAACCTCATACTGTTCTTCAGCTCTGTAAAACCAATTTAACAAGGACATGCATTTTACTACTAAAAAGTAATTTTCTTAATATTTTGCAACTGCTACTGTCATAACACCCAAACTGCACCGTTTGTTAAAAAAAAAAAAAAGCAGAAATATTTTTTCTTCTGTTAAATGGTGCTTCAAACTGTTAAAAAAACCCAGCATGCGTCACTGTTTCCTTTATATAGTGATACTGCAGTCCTCATTTTTGTCTGTTTATGTGAGAAGAGAGATTAGGAACGGGAAAGCTCACTAAGTTTTGCACATTTTAGTCAGCATTGGCAAGAGCCTGGAACTTAACTATCAAATACAGTCAAGCTGAGACTAAAAGCCCTCCTCCTCAATCCCTGCCAGCCTGTTACATTACATATCTTTCTTTCCTCCTCATATGAATTCTGATATAATACATAGAAGATTCCTAGGCCCTGCTTTTGAGACAAGTTTTAGTAACATAATATAAACACCTGAAGACCTACCGAAAAGGGGCCTGATTCTGTAATGAATCTATGATAAAACCATATTTCGCAGCCATTCTTTGTACTTCTCTTAAAGGGCTTCTGCTACCTATGGTTAAACATTCAATAGTAGTCTGCAAGTTACAATTCCACCAGAAGACTTTTTAAGCACACCCGGTTATCTGTTGAACAAATTTTTGTCATGGTAGTACTTCCCAAACATTACTTCTCAAATACTTAAAAGGACTGCAATTTAAAGGCAAATAAGCAGGGAAATGCAAATCAAATTTCTGACAACTACATTTATCTGTCAAATTTGCTGGAGGTTTTTTCTTAAAGATTCATACTTGCTATACATGATCAGTCTGACTTGAAATGAGACTTCAAGTGCTGACGTGGATGACTAGATGTTTCAGTTTTGGGTCACCTCTTTGCAGTTAAGTGCCAATCTGTTTCAGTTTTTTAACTGCACTATTTTGCAAGTCCTGTATATGAAGAATTCGTCCTCAGTTAAAAGGAGAAACCAATATGAGTGTATTTCAATTTCTGATAAATTATTAATAGTAGTAGAAAGAGAAGGTGAGATAAAAGGATGGCTTGGTTTATAACTATGCTCACAGCGTTTCTTAAAATGACTGCAATTTCATACTTTAAGCATCTTCTATCCAAAGGTCTCCAAGCACTTCTACCACATGCATTACGTCACAGGACAGTCTTGCAGAATAATAGGGTATACCAATTCCACAAACAAGAAAATACAGACATAACAGTGATTTAAGCCTTTTTGAAGTCACAGTAATCTCATGTAACTAATAACATGCCTAATCAAAGCAAGATCACATCAGGAATCTAAAGAACTGCTGAATATAAACACCCATAACTAGAGCTATATTCAATACTGAAGCCCCTCCAGAATGTTACATGAGAAAAACCCATAACTGAGGCTCTTTTCAGCAACTGCTACGAATGTTATAAGCAACACATCATTAATAACTTTTATACAAGCTCATACATGGACTGTTTTTTTTAGAAAGAAACTCTGATGTAATTAATAGTGCATTGAAAGGTTTATTTCAGCAATGTTCCCTTTGGATCTGGATTTCCGTAGGGAGATGAACAAGCAGGTCTATTTTTACAGGAACGTGATGCAATACTATCACTGTTTCATGATACAGTAATAATGAAAACATTATTTCTTAAATAGTTCCTCTATAGTTTCCAGATTTTCTATATGCCACCTGTATGCGTTACTCTATTTTTTTCACTACCATAAATGTGAAACCATTACCTTAGCGCGCTGTAGACTTGCCCTTAAGCTTCTCGAAGGAGAATTCACAGGATATATTGATGAACATAGAAACTAACAGTTCTGGAAAACTCTTAATTCTACATGCCATCAAGTTTTGTTAATTAGTCTGTACTGCATTTTTAATCTAAAATATTTATATATTTATAAATATAAATTTTATATATCTATAAAGATTATATGCTTCTCATGTGAATAGCTTTTATGCACTAGTTTTAATCTAGTGGGGTGACTTAGATGTCTAAGTATCATAAAAACTCCACATGCCCTCTTATGAAGCCTAGGAACTGCAGATAACCTCAAATAGTGTCAAGTGCAGCACCCCTTTTGCTCGGAGACCAAGGCCTGTACAGTTAAAAGCTACACCACTAACACACTACAGAGCCAGGCAATCAATGCTGTCTCAGGTATGCAGTGAATTGCACTCTCGTTCCTTACTTAATCAAGTAAATCCTAATCCTGCTTTTTCTAAAAACAGTAACAATACTCTCATCCTTTGCACAAGGAGTGGGATCATCTCCCCCAACAGAACATGGCAGCTATTTCCTCAGTACATCATCACAGTTTATAGCAATTTGTGACATTAAAAAGTAGTGTAGGACATTAAAACTCCATGAGAAAACTAAGAAGGCAGAATGTAATTTTGAACATCCAAAGAACTACAACCATCCAATGACAGTTTAGTGAAACACCTGTTGTAACAGGAAGTCATAAAATATCTTACCATGTTTCTATACCTGATAGTGTTCTATTTATATTACAAATTATATTTCAATATGGAATCAGGGGAAAACTAGATCAGGCTAAATAATTAAAGAGTAGATTTTATACTTTTTTTTAAAAACACAATGGAGTCTGATGAATTACGCATATCTACCATATGGTTGGTCCACATTATCAACAGCCACAATATTAGCGAATATTAACAAAGTTGAACTAGTTAAATAGAGACATCACAATAACCTAAGTTCTAGAGAGCCTCCGTTTTAGCAGTGTCATAATGAAAGAGCATGCTTTCTCTGTGTTCCATACAGCTCATGCTAAAAGCTACCTTCCCTTGTTTACACTGGTATAACCAAGCTAATCATAGAAACACAGAACTCTTGACACCAGTCGAAGAACAGAAAGAAGTGTTTCCCTAGCTGGTGGCTACTGAAGAGAAAATATTTTTTTATCCAAATAAGCATACCTGACTTGTAATTCAGCCCCTGCCAACGCAATGAAACCCAATATTACAACGTACCAAAAGGCCGCAGGCTCTTCCTACTGCCAGACTTCATGTAGCCAAGGAAGTGAGTTATTTTATACTGAATGAACTATTTGATTTAGAAGATAAACTGCTGAAATGCAGACTTCAGAACAATATTCAAACGAAAGAAATCAAACGCTGTTCATCAGTCCTCTTGTTATTGTGGCTGCGGTCCACTCCTTAGCAAGGCCAAACAAATAGACTAGACTACTCGGTAAGCAAGTTCATCCAAAACTTGTCATTCTTTGTCCCTGACCCGCACTGGAAACGTGGCAGGCTTCTGCTTTCAGAGCAAACAAAACAAGTTATCCGCTTTTAACCACAACCGCTGCCTTCCCCTGCACCGCCGGCTTTGCTCTCCGGAGCTCGACGTTTTTGGCAACTACAAGGTCCAAGCTCGGGTTGCCCCTTCCCAGCTCCGGGAGCGCCGAGACCTGTTGACAGAAGGAGCCCCCTCCCCCCCC